AACAATTTCAAAAAAAGCAAAAATTTTCGAAATGCCCCTCCGACTTCCATTTATGCCCCTCCGACGGCCGACTTACCCTGTCGTGCCTCAGGGGCCTCTGAAGTTTCCTGCAGGCCCCTGTTAGTGAGGGGTGCAACTTTCCAGCATGCCCCTGTGGCCGTTCCCCTGGCCCTGCAAGGGGAGCTACTGGGGCATACGGGAAATTTGTATCCTGTAGGGGCATATTGAATGTATTTCAGGCCCAAAAGACTTCAGCAGGGCTTTCCGGAAACTGCAATCGTTGTCAGAGGGGTGCAACAGGGTATGTCCGCTGTCAGAGGGGCATACCGCAAATAAATGGAAGTCGGAGGGGCGTTTCAGAAATTTTCCTCAAAAAAAAAGAAATAAGCTTTGGCTGACACAGCACATTTGGGTGAATGGTACACCCAGGGAGGGAAAAAGGGGAGAAAAAGGGAAAACTAAAACAGCCCATGTGGGTGGGTGGGTGGGTGGGGTAGGGCATGGGATGGTGTGGGGGAGGGGGGGTGTCGAGAACGGTATACCCATGAACTGGTGATATGCAGACCTGATCATCGGTGAGGGGATTCCTTCTGCAGACAGGATACGAGCCCCATGGACCTCGCTCCACTACTCACCAAATGTGCAAAATGAGAATGACTCTTCCGCTAGATCATGAAAAGATACATGGCCATATTTCTTGCCTTTTTTGCATGTGAGAGTAGTAGAGCGAGGCCCCATGTCTGGCAAAGGCGCTGTCAGTTTGATGTCTCCTATCTTATGAGTGGGGAGCAGCGGTACCAGGACCAGCGTTCGGGCCCAGGGTCCCTGACGCATATGCTTGCGAAGGAGAGACATTTTCCCTGGCCTTGACTGCATTGATTGCCCTCTTTTACCGTGGGGATTAACACTCCATGGATCTAAGAGTTACTTTCCTAATCTCACCGAGCATCACTCACCTCCCACCCCCAACCCCTGTCCCACGGGAGCTATGGAACGAGATCTGTTGTTGATGTGTTTCTCTTTCCTTCTATCCATAGCGAGAGCATTTTGCTGCTGTTGAAACGAACTTTCAGCTCGAGCTGGCCATTTGCGGAAAGCAGACGAGGTGAGGGTGGGGACGAGGGGGGGAGGTGTAGGGTTGGGG